AAGGGTGACAGAAGGTGGCATGAAAGTCAATCACAAAACTAACTGGAGCAGAAATGGCAAGGGGAAGGGTGGAGGTCAGGAGAAAAACCCTTTGTTTTAAGGAGAGCCTCACATTCCATGCAGAGCTGTGGTGGAACTCTACCTGTGCGAAGGTAAGTGTTAAAAGCACACATACTCACACGTGCACGTAGAAACATACTTTACTTAGAAAATATGGAATAGTATTAAAGATCAATTCAGTCCATCTGGCCACGATGACCCAGAGGCTCCAGTGGACTCCTCTGAAATCCGGCGTGTGACCTTCCCAGACTAAGACTGCCCACCTTACTGGCTTCTCTGTTCCGTTTCAGACACACAGCCAAAGCCGACAATTCAAACTCTACCATTCACCTAACCAACATTTATTAAGTACTTAACATACTAGATAATGTTTTAGCAATGGGAGATATGGCAGTGAAGTTAAGTTTTCTGCTTTGATGGAACTTACTCGTATATAAGTACAAAATGTAAATAAGTATAAATATACCAGGCATTAATTAACGCAAGGAAGGAAGACAATCAGCTACAGAGAGTACTTCCTACAGCATAGCAATGTTCTTTCCTGGGTGACCCCCACCCCAGGACTAAATGCTGAGGAAAGGAATAGGTCTGGCCATCTCAGTCACTTGGTGACAGCTTGGAAGGGCCGGCGTAGCCCTGGAGTCCCGCACTGAGTCAGTGGAAGCCATGACTGCTTACAGTGCAGCTCGGCTGCTCTCTCTGCCTGCTCCTGCTTCCTCTGTCTTCTCGAGGATTCTTGTTGTAACCCTCTGGAACACTATGCTTCCTCTCTGACCTTGCCTCCTGGGCAACATAATCTGTGACAGAACGTGCAGCATTCTGGGAAAGCAGGTAACAAAATGGGCTTTGAAGATTGATCATTCACAGGCAGGCAGGCTGGCAACGAGGACCCCGTCACTGGTTGAAGCACAGAGAAGCCCTGGCACAAGGCAGTAGTCCAACTATTAAAGTGCTCTCAGGAGGTGAGGAGAGATAATACACCAAAGAAGAACATACGTGAAGTGGAATAGTAGTTCAGATGTTTAAAGAAACAATAACTGTTAAGAACAATGGAAAAAGATCATTTCCAAGTTGACATCAAGCCATTGCCAATATGAAAGCCAGAAGGCCTTTTTCACAGATACAAAGATATATTCAGATTCTGTAGCTCCTGGCCAGAGGAATGTGATGACAGGAACTTGGCTGCATCATTAGAATAGTCAAGCTCTAAAACTCTAAAGAGTAGTTAAGCTCCAAAACTCTTCATCAAGGACGTAACTGCTGAGTAAGAACCCTAGATGAAGAATGAAATCCCACTACAAGGGATGGTCTAATTTGATGTCGCCAAAAATCTTGAACCTCCACATTCTCTAGAACCCACTGACCCCACCAAGAAAGGGGGTACCCTTTCTTGCCGTAAGTGAGAATGGTGACTTGCCTCCCATAAAACAATGTGTGGCCCTCTAATTCCCGTCTACCCCATCCTCCCTTACAGATCTCTAGACCCAAGTATAACCAATCTTGGACATTCAAGGGCTAATGAAGAAATGACTACATCTCAAAGGAACTGTAAGATTTAAATAGCTTGTATCAGCCAAGAGAGTAAAGTTTAGTGGCAGCTCTGCTCCTAGGCTACAATGGACAGAAGAAAAGGCTGATATATAACTTAGGTTACTCAGCCCCAAGCAGGATCATAGGTCCAGGTGAAGATGCTTAAACACTAGATGGATGGCTTCATTATCAGAGCAAACAGAAAGAGACAGAGAGAAAGATAGGGAGAGGAAAGGAGGAGATAGAAGAACAGAGGGAGAGGAGAGACAGAGGGAGACAGAAGAGGGAAGGGGGGGACAGAGACAGAGACAGAGAGAGACAGAGACAGAGAGACAGACTGAGACAGAGAGAAAGAGACAGAGAGAGAGAGACTAAGATTCCACACCAAGACTTACTGAGAGAAAATAGTATGCAGTGTCCCTACAGGTAATAGACAGCTAACATACCATCACTCTGTGTGTACCATCAAAAGGAAGCAAGGACACATGTCCACAAAGTCAGGAGCACTTGCCCCAATAAAGTCACAATTTCATATTCAATTTTCAAACCTCATCTAATTTTTTGACCCTGAACTCAAAAGACTGAAAAAGAGGCCTAATTTTCACAAGAAAGGACCCTGCAATAATATGGCAAGTATACAGAACAACAACCCTCCCCGGCCCCACTCTTTGTCCAAAGAGACCTACAGACTTTCGTTCAGGTAACTGGCCAGGTAAAACACACACCTGTTGAGAACTACGGGGCACGGAGCTGACAGCAATATCCAGAGATCTGAGACATCAGTAGCTCCTCTCTTCTCCTTCCCTACTCAGAGGAGGTGTGACGGAGGCCAACAATAAAGAAGCCCCAGGCATGGTTTGGTTCCTAATAGACCAGTGGGATCACACACCCACCTGGTGATAACTCCTCCTCAGACCTCAAATGAAATTATATTCTTATTTCATGCTTGAAAAATGTACCACAACATCTATATCAAGTCCTTAGCTAAAAGATAAGAGCTATCATGGCAGAGAAAATCAGAAGGGAAGAACTGGAAGCTACTCTACCCCAATCCTGCCACAATACTACACTTACAAACCAACAGGAATTAAGAGTTCCCTTAAAAATTTAAATGGCATGGGTGGTGGTGACAGGTTATCCAAAGGTGTCCGTGGGTCCATGTACCAAGACGGCTTCTCCCTTTATCCACTGCTAGTCCTGCTTCCTTGCTTCCAGAAGGGTTGATCACAAAAGCATCGCCTCACAAATTCTACCTCAGCGTCTAATTCCCTGGCATCTCAACCTTCATTACTTACTCCCAGCCTGAACTGAAGTTGCATTTTCTTTCTAAATAAATATGGACTTATCTCCAGGACTACTTTCTAATTTAATTGGGCATTGGGTAGGTTTCACAGCTAGACAAAGTTTCCAAAGAAATCTCAATATAACAGATTTTTTTAAGTCTTCCATATTTTCTCTTGGAAAAGCCATGAGAAATTTCTGACTTACACATGCTTTTTACATGTAAAATTTCCACATTTAAAATTATTGTCAGTCAGGTGTAGTGGTACATGCTTGTAATCCCAGCACTTGGGAAGTGGAGGTAGGAGGATCACTGTGAGGTCAAGCACAGTTTGGACCACATAGTGAGTTCAAGGCCAGCCTGAGCTACGGAACAAGACTTTGTCTGAAAAGACAAAGCAATAACAGTAACAATAATAATAATAATAATAATAATAATAAATTATTGTTGAGTACTGTGAGTCCTCATTTTCTTATCAAATATCTTGAGCAATTATTCAATATATTAAAATTTTTTCTGATTCTGCATAGATTGTGCAAAAATAGCACTCCTCATCTCTTCTTTCAGAGAGATTTTCATTGGTTTCAAATAATAATTTCTTCTCTAGTTTATCATCACTTAAATGCTGGTAACTTGTTTAATAGCTTCTTTGCAAATAGACTGAATAAGTCGTTTTTAGATTTTATTTCCACAAATAGCAAAACAACATACGTTCTGAATTGCATTTCCTTTTCTTTCCTATAGCTTCACAGAATTATCTACATGGTCTCCTGATACATGTTGCTATTTAGAAGCTTGTAGGAAACCATCCCCTTATATAAGAATTTACTGGGGGCCAGACAAATAGCTTAGCAGATTAAAGCACTTGCTTAGGCAGATGCAAGGGCCAGTAGTTCCAGGCCCTGCCCCTGGGGTGCTCTGAGACTGTGACTGAGACTAGGCATGGTGGCGCACACCCGTAATCCCAGCACTTAGGAGGCTGTAAAAAGGAGAATCACTGTGAGTCAGATCTACACAGCGAGACCCTGTCGACCCTGTCGACCCTGTCCTAAATTTAAAAAAAAAAAAGAATTCACTGGGTAAGATATTTATAAATATTTTAAAACTTATTAGAAAGTAATTTATCATATAATTCTGAGCTTAACCTGTAGTTTCTCGAATAGTTCTGTGAATAAGTATAGCTTAATCAATACAGCAATAAATAAATAAATGAAGTATGTCATTTTAAAAAGTAGCCCATAAGAACTGACAGATACACCCTGCTCTAAAATGCAGGGTAATAAGAGATTCCGTATGTAGTAAGCATTATACAAACTGATGAAAGCACTTTCCGCTGTGAGACACGATTTCAGTAAAATCATAAAAGTTATAAAATCAGTTACAGCTGATTTTAATGAAGTAATTTGTTGTGAAAAACCAAGGTCAACGTGCGTATTTTAAATAGTACAGTGTTTCTGTACTTATACATTAACAAAATAGATGACTGTCAGTTGGTATGACAAAATTTACCCAGAATGTAATTATGGTGGGAGTCCATTTTCAAGAAAAATACGGAAACTTTCGCAGTAGCACTTGACCCACAGTCAAATGTTAACCAGATTACATGAAAACACAATACTGCATTTTAGTGACACACTGTAGCTAATTCAGGTTCAGGGGTTAGGATACCTATTTTCATTAGGACCCCGGGACTGGGCCACCACATTCTTATCCCCACTGCTTCCTCTGCTTCTTCTAATACAAGAGTCACGATGCTCTGTACAAATAGGACCAAAGCACCCAGGAAAAAAACACAGATTGCCAAAGGGAAGCTTTTTATTGTTTACGTTTATTTTCCCTTGTCACAGTCTCCTTCCTTACATGTAACAGGCTGAGGTACTCAAGATTCTTGCAAGAGAAAAGTATTTAGGGGGACAGCAACAGAAATGCTTGTTTTTAGGACACGCACGTGTTTATCATTCGGCCGGCAGCAGCTGGGAGTAGGGAAACAGAGGGGCGACTGAAATCCTGGAAATCTAATTAGTTAAGTCACACTGATCAGACTTGGATATTTTTAAAAAGTTGTATTACTTTACCTTTAGATGTTTGAAATTTAATTCAAATGTACATAAAATAAAAATATACCTACTTGGAAGAAACTGCTTCCATGAATTCATCCAAAAAGTCATCGTACGCTGGGCCTCTCACTCTTCGCTGCCGTAGTCCAATGTACAGTGGGTCGCTGAGTAACTCCTAAAACAAAATAAGCCTGTAATTTATTCTTTCTAAACTTATTTCTTCATCTATAAAAGGAGCAGAAATAGAATTAAATCTTGCAACACTGATTCACAATTAATCTACTTAACACTATTATATAGTGTTACATTGAATACATCTATATTTATATGTAAAAAAACTGCTAATTGCCAAAAATATTCTGAGTTTTCTGAAGAAAAGAAAAGGAAATAAGGTCTTGAGTGGTGCTAATTAGAAAGGTCTAACTCGGATTTTACAGGCAACTTTTTCCACAAAGAAAAATATTGAGATTTAAGTATTAAATTACCTTAATAAATGGAAAAATAGCAAATGTTAAATTTTTTTTTTCCAGGAGGCTGGGGAGATGGCACAGTTGAAGAAGCACTTGCCTGGCAAGCACAAGGGCCTGAATTCAATCCCTGGCGCCACTAAAAAATTTTAAAAATTAAAATTAAAATAAAATAAACATTTTTTTTCAACTTTCAAAACCCTGGAACAACATTTTAATTATGCCTTTAAATATGAAGCTGGTCAATTTTTAAAAGGAATTTTTAGGTTTGAGTCTTTCTTAAACATTTTTAAAGCTTATACAGTTTAAATTATTTCTTAAATTGATTATGTCTGGGATAACAATGCCCTATTCAAGATTTAGGCTATACAATATTTAACATTAATTAATAAATCAGTTCTATTTTTTATTGTTATTTTATTTTATTTTTTAAATATTTGGTACAGGGTCTCACTACACAGATCGAACTTGTAGTGATCCTCCTGTTTTCAGCCACCCCTGTGCTCAGATTACAGCCATGCGCCACCAGGGCCAGACTTAGATGCTGGCTCAGTGTGTCCTGGGGGCGGGGCCAGCATGGAATGTAGGAGCAGGAATTGAACCCTGGTCCCTGCGCTTGCCAAAGCAGGCACTTAGTCCACTGAGCTATCTCACTGGCCCAATAAATCAGTTTTAAATTGGAGTATACTTTATCTTCAGTAAAATGCATCAAGTTATAGCAAAAACTCTCAGTAAACTAAGAATGAAAAGGAACATCAATCCAGAGAAACCCAGCGGTGAGAAACCCACAGCTGCCAGCATGTCCACAGTGAGCCCGAGTGCTGGTCTCCTCAGGTGAAGACAAGGCCCCGGCATCTGCGCTACCACTGCCCAGCATGACCCTGGAGATGCCAGCCACTAAGATAAAGTAAGGAAGTAAGAACGCCGATGGAAAGGTAAAAACTAAGCTTACTTTTATTTATATGCATGTGATTATGTACACAGAAAATACTAATTCATAGCAATAACAAATCTGGTATAAAAATGTGAATTTAACACAATCACAGAATATAAGGCCAAGATCAAAAAATCAAATGTATCTCTTTAAACTTGCAAAGGATATCTGAAATGAAATTAAGTACATAGTTTCATTTGTAATAATCTTCCAAAATATGGAGTTCATAGCAGCATAGTTAACAAAATGTATGTATGACTTGAACAAGGGAAATTACAGAACACTGTTTTTTGAAAATACCTGAATTTCAGAGTAGTGCTCAACAGGTCACAACTGTGTGTTTCATGAATAGCTGTAGGTAGGTCCTCTGCCTACCGGAGCAGACTACAAGCAGATGCACAGGAAGTCTACAAAGCTTTTCAAGGTGCTGTGCCAACTTGAATTAATTAGGACAGACACACTTTAAAATAAAAACACTACTCTGGGTTATCAACTTTCCACAGGCAGGAAGCAAGCTAAGAGAGTTACTCAATCGTCAAACAGACCATTTCTTATTACTATACCTCAGAGGACAGAGCCAAGAGTCCAGAGGACAGAGCCAAGAGCCTGAGGACAGTAAACTACAGACCTGCTCTTGAGGACGCAGAATGTAGCCCAACTCCAAGAAGGTTCCCCTGCCGCCTGAGTGTGGCCAACTCAAGCCAAGACTCTTACTCCACCTATTTTAGTGGACGCTGATCACAGTTATTCTGTCCCTAACTGTGTGTCTGTGTGTGGCACACACACGGGGAACCACAGCAAGCAGCAACGTGGCACAAGCAGCCTCACCTCATCTCGACTTGATTTCATGCCAGAACACCAATCATTGGGCTATGGCTATTACTGGACTGAAAGTTAAGACTCACAGAGCAAAGATGAGCATATTTTGTATATGAAACCTGAGTAATTTGTAAGAAAAGAAAATCAACACTGAGGAAAGCACAGCTGTCCTGAGCATCCAAGATTTCGTGTACTTCCAGGCCTAAACTACCAACCCACAACATCATACGTATGAACACAACCATCACTGTAAAAACTCTACTGAGTTTGGGGGCGGTTTCAGAGAAATGGTATGTTTTTGCAGGTATGGTTGTTAAGAAGGTTCACCTACGTGAATCATCTGAAATAGGGCGGAAAGCTAACAGAAATTACAGGAGATTCAACACAGCTGAAGAGAGGAGCCATGTTGTAGCAACTCAAAAAATCACCTAAAACATGTCCAAATCAGTCTGAAATAAGGCATTTGTACATCAAGCAAAACAGAGAGATAGCTCTTTACAAAATGGCGGCTCTGCCCACAGGGCCTCTGCTGGCACTGCCACTGCCGGCCAAGCAAGATTCCTCATACACTGAAGCCTCCAGGAAAAGGATGGACTGCAAAAGTGTGGCTAACTCAAGCCAGAAAGCACAGATTTGGCACACGAGGGCCCTCCCTCTTGTGCTATCCTCTGCACACCACACACAGCGCCCTAACTGGGTCCCCTGCCAACAGCAAGCTTAGGTACCAGAGCTGAAGCCAGTGAGAAGGGCACGGATGTGTGGGATGTAAACAGCCACAGCACCAACCCCACGCAAGAAGACTGAAGCAGGCCAAGCATCCCTGGATGACCTCAAGACAGCAGTGACTGAGTAACACGAGGGACCACGGTGGTGTCATAGTGGTATGACAGCACCAGTGACAGGGAAGAACATGAGTGGACAGCACAACCCCTCCCGCCCTGCAACAAATGAGGCTGGCACCCCTCACTGCAAGGAGATCAGAGCAGGCCTGGCTGTCCCTGCAGCACCAGCAGGAGCAGGGAGGCCCCCACAGCACCCCCACACCCACCCAGCAACAAGCGCAACAAGGCAGAGACGTGGAAGTGGAACAGAGAAGACGGGTCTCACTGAGAGGGCGCCACCTGTACACACTGCGGGCATCCGCGGGCTTCTGCCTGAGGGAACCACAGGCACCAGGAGAAAGATACAAATGGGCTGGTCGTTTCATTTTATCTGTTTTGGTTTGGTTTTAGGTTCCTCAGGTCTTTACTGTATTCTTGCTCTGACCTATTCACCTTGTCTCTTTCCTCAACTAGCTCTTAATGTTATGATAACTCACATATGAGTGAACATTCTTGCTAGTCTTTCTGTCCACTGCAATACTCTTTGGCTTTTCCCTCCTTCTCCCTCGCCCCTTTCTCCAGTTTTGCAAGCCTGGGTGATCATCCCTTGGTCTCCAGTCCTACACCTACTATATATCTCTTCATTTAGCTTTCTGCTTTATCTCCTACCCCTCTTGAGTCTCCCAAGCACAGGGTAAAAATCACTGTACCGAGGGGAAACTCATACAAGTTCCTAAACAAGGTTGGGCTTTGTTATATAACAGCAGGTCTTCCCTTATAGATAAAGGTACGAAATTAATAGTGAGCACAGTTTGTCAGGTTTTAGGCTGTGTTCATACTACTGTGGTTGCTACCTGTACTACTTCAGTCATTACATCATACAGGTTGCAATCAGCTGTCCTCCTTTGTATGGGAAACTGTGATGGTCTGAGGTCACACCCTTCACCACTGTTCCTACCAAATGACTAGATCCAGAGCAAAACAGCTATGCCTCGGGCCAGGGAGATGGCTCAGTGGAATAAGCGCTTCCCTGGCGAGTGCCAGGGTCTGAGTTCAATCCCTGGTTCCAATGGGGGGAAAAAAAAAAAAAATCAGAAGCTATGCCTGATACTTAGTAAATTTGAAAGGTAGAAACTTGGGATAGACACAAAGATCAAAACCCACCTATACGTAGGAGACATCTCAGAGAAAGAGGCTTCCCCTTGGGAAGCCTCAAAATTAGTTTTTTGTTTTGTTTTGTTTTGTTTTTGAATTTTAGGGAAGGGTCTACAGGGTGTTCAGGGTCTCACTATTAGATCAGACTCATTGTGATCCACCTGTTTACAGCCTCCCAGGACTTGGAATTATAGGCATGTGCCTCCACACCCAGTCTCAACTGCATTCTCAGCATGCCCCAGGGGTGGGGCCGGCACAGCAGGCCCACACATCAAACCCCTGGCCCCTGCGCCTGCTTGCAGGCACTTCAATCCACTGATCTATTTGGCCCTTCAAAATCAGTTATAAAGCTAACTACTTTAGCAAATGTACAAGTACCAATACAAACATCAAAATAAAACAGAAAGAGAGAAGACGCAGAAATAAAACACAACCCTAGACCTTTATCTCAGCCAGAAAAAATCCAAGGGAAAGAGTGAGAAGAAATCAGAAGCCATATGCCTTAATTCTCTGGCATGATACCAACAGAAGTTAGAAAACAAATGCATGAAGCTAGGGAGGAAGTGAGAAAGGAAATACTCTCCTAGGTAAAAAGGAAGATGAAGACAATATATACTGTATCTCTTCATCTTGGAGTGTTCCTCTACTTTCTACAAGCATGTAGTGACCTTCTATGACTTTTTTGACCAGTCTTGTTTTGAAGTTCAACTTGTGTTCAAATAGAATAGCTATACCTGCCTTTTTCTGGGGTCCTGTCACATAAAAGATTGTTTTCCATCCATTGACTTCCATTCTGTAAATTTCTTTTTGAATTAAGTGTTTCTTATATACAGCATATTGTTAGATCTTGTTTCTTGATCTATGGGGCCTATCTCTTCTCACTGGTGAATTGAGACCACTGCCTTGATGGTTACAGTTGATACATACTGACTAGTCCTTACCATCTGATCTTCCTATTGCTGTTTCCCTGTCTTTCTGC